AAGTATACATATCAGAAACTAAAGCAACAGCCTTCAGAATTCATTTATATGCTATCCCAATTGAGTTACACAGATTGATCTTTCTGCATAACCCTCTCCCTGCATATTGCACAGGTGCCTTTCTCATCACCTAGCTATCTCAGCTTACATTACTCATGTAATTCCCACTTTACTGACTCTCACTCACACTTGAACCACTCCCTTCTTCACAAGATAATAAATTCTGGATGAGGCTTTGGATCAAGGGCTTTTGTTCTGTGTTTCTTCACCTGGAATGGACTCAGGACACCTTGGCTGCTTGGTGTCTTTTATTTTCACTTAGGTTGCACTGGAAGTTGTAGATTAGAATTAGTTCATCAGTATTCCAATAACATATCAATGAGATTAAAGATATAAAACTCCTCAAACAGTTAGAAATATGACAGAGGGGACCACAGTAATTGGATTACAATACTTAAAGGGATTATAGTATCCAGTTTATGATATCCAGTACTGGGAATACAATAAATATGTTCCTCAGAATAGTGGGAAACTTAAATCTTATAAATTATTTGTTTTCATAATTTCACATTTTATACTTTGATATCATGGATGACTAAAGCCCTCTGAGAGTCACTATAAAGAAAGCCTACATATCCCAACAGCGGAGCACATCATTTGGACCTAAAGATATATAGTATTCCCAGAATCATATCTCAAGACCCTTAGATGCTCATCTCTAGAACCCAATCATGGGACAGCTCAAATGCAACACATCAGAGGAATATCATTCTAACATTCACCAAAGTGACTTATCTAATCTTGACATACACTAGTTGAGATTCACTATTATAGAAATCAGTTGAAAAGGTACAGAGCTTCCATACATAGTTGGTGAGGCCCTCCATCTGCCAAGATCAAGTTTTATTTCCTAATGCATATGCCTTGCTGAATGTCCTATATATCTTCCTTTGAGGAGCAGTGAGATGAGTGCTATGAAAACAGAAGAAAGTGTCCTTCAGGAGCATGGTGACAGACCAAAGGTCATGTAGCTTAGCTTTGCCTGATATAAATTTTGATGTAAACCATGATTTAGATTTAACAATGAACAAATATCCAAACATATACCATTAAGTCATAACTTCCTGACCTCCCCTCCCTGGTAAGTGGAGGCAGGGTGGCAGACTGCAGCCCTTCCAGGGGGAGAACTAGCAGTGTCTCCTGAGATCCATGCCATGTTGGAACTTAGGACTCTGGGAAGCCAACCAAGCACCTCCCCTCCCTGGTAAGCAGAGGCAGGGTGGCCCACTGCAGCCCTTCCAGGGGGAGCACTAGCAGTGTCTCCTGAGATCCACACCATGTTGGAACTTAGGACTCTGGGAAGCCAAGCCAGCACCTCCCCTCCCTGGCAGACTGCAGCCCTTCCAGGGGGACACCCAGCAGTGTCTCCTGAGATCCATGCCATGTTGGAACTGAAGACGCTATGAAAACAAATGACCATTCTGCCTCCCTGCTTAGCAATAGTGAACCTACTGCTACATGGCATAGAATCAAATATCTCACTTCCCCTATCCTCCTTCTTCTCCCCCCCACCCCGCCCATTAGCAAATGGGAACCAGAAATCTGAGCATCTCCTGGGAGGTTGACCATAGCAAATAAGGGGGACCTCCTTCTACCATTTCTTTGAAGGCAAGTATTTTTATTACTGTTTTGCTCTTTTCTGATTAATGTTACTGCTCTATTCAATATTCTGTTTTGATAAGTTCTATAGTGTTCTATATTTCATCTCATTTTGATATACGGGATTGAAAGAACAACTATTATAAAGATAACAAAATATACTGTGATACCTATTACTGTTATCCCGGTAACCTGCTGTGAAGTTCTGTACCAATTTCACTGTACGATCTTAGTTGGCTTTATTCTGACTTGTTCTGTTGTATACTTTTAAAATAAAAATTTAAAAAAAATCATAACTTCCTATAGATAACTCAGAAACCATTGAAAATACCTGAGACTTTTAAGTGGACTTTGATCTTATGTTGATATTTGAGAGAAAAAGAGCCATAGGCATATAGAGGCCATTGTATCACTGAATATTTTGGTTTTTAGGCCTCTCATTGAATACATTGAACTTCGATAAGACACCTCTTCAAATGGCTCCATTTGAACTCTCATGTGTCCAATACCTGTCTGTTCTTCCAGAAAATAGCACTGTAAGTGCCATGCTTCGCCTCCATGTGGCACAGCAGGAGGCATTCTAGAATTGTTTTAGTTAAGTCACTTTAGATAAAACATTTATTGTCAAACTAGGTGTGGTGGCACATGCCTGTAACCCTAGCAATCAGGAGGCTGAGGCAGAAGGACTGCATGAGTTTAAGGGCAGCCTGGGATACAAAGTGAGCTTAAACACAAAATGAACTGCATAGTGAAACTATCTTGGGGCTGGGATTTAGCTCAGCAGCACAAGTGCTTGCCTAAGCACTTGTTGTAAGCACAAAGTTGTGAGCTCAATTCCCAGTGCAAAAATAAATTAAGGGGACTGGAGGTTTAGCTCAGTGGCATAAGCACCTGCCTTGTAAGCAGGCAGTCGTGAGTTCAATCCCCGGTACCAATAAAAATGAAAAAGACAAAAAAAAAAAAAAATTAAGAAACTCTGTCTCAAAAAAACAAAAATAAATAGATAAAATTTAAAAAATAAAATGACTAGAGAAAATAATGGGCAGAAGCTAAATACTATATGAAATATAAAAGAATGAAATGAAAGGATAGATTAAAATACGTCTAAAGACCTTTAGATTACTGAATATTCCCCAAATTCAATTCATAATTTACCAAAACAGTCTGATCAGCATCAATATGATTATGAGAGTAAAAGAAATAGTTCTATTGCTGAACATAAGTTTGGAATCTTAAGATTTAGAAAATCTTTAAGATTTAGAGTATGAAAGTTACCACATTTTTAGAAGTGAACATTTAAAAGATAATAGTATGTTCTCTGTGGATCAGAGACAATAAAATTGTATTTACTTATAATTACATTGCTTTTGATCTAATTCACATCATAAAATAAGTAGATCAGTGGCCATTTTTAGTTATAGTTTAGTTCAATTTATTTATTTATTTATTTATTTATTTATTTTTGTCTTTTTCCTTTTTATTGGTACTGGGGATCGAACTCACGACTGCCTGCTTGCAAGGCAGGTGCTTATGCCGCTGAGCTAAATCCCCAGCTCCAGTTTAGTTCAATTTAAGCAAAATAACTAAATTAGTTTATTTGAATCCCAAAAGCCATTATTCAAAGGATTAAATAATTTTTAGTGTTCATATAAATGCTCTAATTCCACATAAAGTTTCATTTTATCAGTATTATATGCAAGCTAGAACACAAAGTACTTTAACAAAAAGTTAACATTGGTAGCCTGTGTAAAATGTTTAAGACAGTATTAGTTCATGTTATGTTACTTTAATGAAATACCTGAGATAGGTATTATAACTTTACAAAGAAAACAGATTGATTTTACTCACAGTTTGGAGGCTGAAAATCCAACCAACATCAAACTTGCTCTGGTGGAAAGCTCTGTAGCAGGTGACAGGAGCCCATGAGGGAGAAAGAAGGGACCAAAAACAGGAAACCAGAGAGTATCCTGGGGGCTAAGAAAATTCTTATAACTCACTCCCATGAGAGCGCCAGAGTCCACAAGAGCTGTCTAAATCCCATCTAAAGGCAGCTTCTCCAGTGATCTAAAGCTCTCTCACTGGCCCCCACACCTTTCAGAGCCATGACACTAGTACCAAGTTCCCAACACATGAACCCTCAGGAGACACATTCAAGCCTTATTCAAGCCTATGGCTATAAACTATGAATCTCCTCAAAGAGGCTATACTACAGAAGAAAACAATATGCAACTCTATGATCATGGCATTGAGGTTCCTTGAGAACAAAGGTAAAGTTTACCAGTCACAAGAAGACAAAATCACACATATATTTCTCACTGGAGACAAGTTCAAGTACAAACAAAGCAAACATTCTTCTACTTTTACCTATTGTGCTGTAAAATCATAAACATAGCTCCAGGTTTTAAAATGGAGATTTGATCCTTTAAAATTCATCATTCTATATTTTACAGCATTCTAAAGAAAAAACCCTAAATTCAAAGTGTTACAATTGAATCATAAGATTATGGAGCTACAGAGGCACATGGTTAACTGGATTTGCTGCCATGCGCTCTTTAGATAGCCGAACCAAAGTCATTAAAATATCAATATCTGGAAACTTAGAGCAGCATGTAATTTTGTCCTTTTGGGGAATGATACTTGTAAAATTGACAGCCTCAGAGGCAGCCTTATTAACGCTAGGAACAGCTAGTCCAGAGAAGTTTCCATAAGTTAGAAAGTTTTATAAATTTGTAGCTCTAAGAAAAAATAGCATGCCCACAACATGGCATGTTATGATAGATAGATAGATAGATAGATAGATAGATAGATAGATAGAGATACGCATCAGGCATGGAACCTACAAAGATGACCACTCATCTTTGACATCACTAACTAGAAACATCCTGTCAAACCCATCCATGTCTCCCCTCTCTCAGTGAAGCCAAGCAATTTCTATATTGTTATGGGTTGTGTCTAAAATTCCCCCCAAATCCTCATGTCATAGGACTTTTTCAGGTGGATGAATCTAGAATGTGTGATGCTGAAATTAAGAATGTATGACTAGTAAATAAGTCCACTGAATGATTTGGCATAATTTTGGCAAGAATTTTTTTACTTTTCTTTTTTCTTTTCAAATCCAGTTTATATCAAAGAGAAACAAAAGAAAATATTCAAAATACATCAATTAGAAGGCAACAATTGTACATACATTGTGCATTATCATCTCTGAATTATTCATCTAGAGAGTGTGAAACTACACTTGCTCTAGGGCAGGTAGCCTACATACAATATAAGAGACAGAAAAAGTCTTGTCTCCCCTGCTTGCTTGCTTTTGTTATCTTCTACCAGCATGAACTGTTTCTTTTCTAGGATGCCACTGTGCCAAGTCACCCTGCCTTGGACCCAGCCAAAGTGAGTCAAATAAATCTTTTCTCCCTTAATCTGGTCATTGGCAATTTTTTGTCTCAGCAATGAGAAAAGTAGCGTGTGTGTGTGTGTGTGTGTATTTGTGTGTGTGTGTGCATGTGTGTGTGTTTGTGTGAATCATGTAGCCTTTTTTACTCCCCCTGGTTCAAATGAAATAATGATATAATTCCTCCAGTCCACAATATTCTTGTGGCTCCTCTAAGGAACTGCAGGCTCCACATATAAGTCATCCACAGGATGGTGAAGCATCTTCATATCTGAGCTGTGTTTTATCCATAATAACAGTGTGTTTTTTCTTAGCTACTGAAAAGAAATTGGCTACAACTTTTGTAGAAACTGGAATGTGACTCTTGTCTTTTTAATTTCATCAAGCACCCCAAAGATCATGAGATGTTCCATCAGGATGTCAGTAACTTTCCCAGCACTGCTCTGAATGGTATTAACAGCTTGGGCTCTCACACTCATCAGTCTCTATATTGATTTTCTGGTTACTGACCTTCTTAGAGAGCACTTCATGCAGTTTCTGCTCTGGCCTGCCCATCACTTTTGAGGACAGATCCTGCTACTTACTAAACAGTGCTGCACTGAACACAGCAGGCTTGGTGGAGGTGGGAATGCTCAAGGTGGAGGTGGTGGCAAAAGGAGAAAAGAGCTGCAGGTATCCCTGGAAGAAGAGGAGGTGATAGAGAGGTGGGCTGCAGCCTTCCTTGGAAAGTCTAATTCTGGAAAAAAATATTCCTGCATCTGCAGCCTGCTGTTTTCCTTCTTTTGTATTCTTTTCTCATGTGAGCAAGGAAAGGGACAAAAACATAAAGAGAAAGTGATCCACTGATATTTTAGCATAGATTATAAAATCAATACTGCCAGAACTTTCTGAGATTTCTCTAGTCATTGTAATTTTTCCACCTTTGTTGTATTGTTTGCTCTTTCCTTATGATTAACAGGAAAAGCTTTAAAATAAAAAAAAACCCTGTGTTTTGTGTGGCCATGCACTATGGGTCTAGAGTTCATCAGGCACACCCCGTGCTATTGCTGTCAATGAGCATTCAAGCATCTTTCATGGATGGAGCCATGGAATTATGCAATGATAGGGAGATTAGTTCTGTTCCAGCCAATACTTCTATTAGAAATTGTCTCTTTTTGCTACACAGACTATAGCAATAATGTTTATTGAAATTAAGAATGGACACCAGGCAAAGCATCAAATTACCTCCATTTCTTAGTGAGGCAGATAAAAAAATACTCCCAGCAAAAGCAGAACCACCTCACATTTGGCAATACAAACTAAAAGGAACAAATCTACAAAGAAATCAACTGATGGACATTGAGTAAAAATTAATTTTCTGCAAGGCATTGAAAAAAGTAGAGTTATAGGTCTTGATAGCAGGGTACCACCAACCACAATTAATCTCAGCAGAATGAGAACCCAACTCAAGTGAGATTAAATTATAAAGAGATGAATTGGTCCACGAAGCTGCAAGACCAGATATACAGTGGTTCCATTTCCATTTCTTTGGCCCTTACTTCAATTTGGGTCCATGCTCAGACTGGAGAAGAGATATCTATAATACTTCCTATCCTCATACCACACATAGCAAAGCTCTTAAAAACAATCTCTGTAGGTCTCTCTTCAGAGTAAATAAAAGTTCCCAAGAATCCCCCAGCAAACTTCCCAAATACTGTGACATTTCTGATTCAAGCATTGCAAAGGATTGAAATCACTCTTATTGTCTGAATCAGTTCAGGCCCTTACTGCCATAAACAACACCACACATATCATGGTTGTTCTTCAGTGGTGGAAGGTATGAGGATAAATAGCATAAAATACTTCATGGTTCCTCAACAATGTCTCAGAAGTAACTAAATACTGATGCTTCAATCCCACCATGTATCCTTAAGACTTTAAAACTTTGAAGAACTGCCCCTACATGCCTGCTGCTGCCATTGGAAGGCTTGCTTCCTGTGGGCAGCCAGCATGGGCAAGGGAGATCTATCTGTATAGATCTCACTCTGTGCACCCACCACCACCATTGGAAGGCTTGCTTTCTTCAGGCAGCCAGTGCCTACCAGGAGAATCAGACAAACATATCATTGTGTGCCTTCCATCACTGTAGAATAGACACACAGGCTGTAAGAAGCAGCCCCACCACCACACAGCCCTAGCCATCAAGGAACCTTCAGTGTAGCTGCACCGGTCTGGAGAAGCCTGCCCCATGCCCTGCTACTTCCCTGAGAACCTGGGGTCAGAGAAACCCAGGTGCCTGTCCCATTCCCATATACTGCAGAAGGGCAGCCAACGTGGGAAGTGCTTGGGATCCCACAACCAGCTTGTTGGGAGAAACCCAGGAGAATGTCAAGACAGATGAAAAAAAGGCCATCTCAGACCTGAAGCCCACACAGAACAAGTCTTGGAGATATAGCCATGGAAGAAAATAGAAGTCACACACCTGAAATCTCTGAAACAGTAGTAACTGAAATAAAGAAACAGCTTCATGACAGTGAAAAGGTAATCAGATCAGAAATCACAAACAATGAAAGGATTGCTGAGCATATCTAAAGAAAGGAATTACAATGCATGAAATAGATTCAAAGAGATATCAAGGAAATTAAAAACTACATTGAAATCTGGCAAAACTGCTTGAAAGAGATGGAAGATAGACTTTCAGATCTTGAAGATAGGATTGCAGCAGTGATCATGAAAGGAAAGATCTCTTAAAAGTAACAAGGAACCAGGAAATACCAACTCAACAACTGCAAGAAGAAGCAAAGAAAAATAATTTAATAGTGATAGACATCATCAAAATAGTAGAGGTCAGCACAACTGACATAAAAAGACTATTTACAGAAGTAATAGCAGAAAACCTCCCAAACATGGGAAATGGATCTGGCCTACAAATAATTGAGGCATACAGAACTCCAACTAGCCATAATCAAAGTAAATCTATATCCAGAAATTAACCACAAGAACAGAATATTAAAAGCTTTTAAAGAAATGAAACAGATCACCTATGAAGGAAAACCAATTAGAATCACAGCAGACTTGTTAACACAAACCATTACATCAAGAAGAGTTTGGAGTGAAGTGTTTCAAACACTGAAATAAAATAACTTCCAAATCCAGATTGATGTACCCTGCAAAACTATCTTTAAAAACTATTGCAGAAATAATATACATCCATGAAAAAGAAAAACTGAAGGAATTCATGCCCACCAAACCAACCCTACTTAGAGTGCTGAAGGATATTCAAGAGAGAGATAAAGATGACCATGGTTCCAGGAACAGCAGCAGAGGAAGATCACCAAACAGTACAGGCAACTAGATAAAGAGGAAAAGTGGAGGGCCAAAAGCAGAAGGATAACATGGCAGAGATTAACCATTGCATGCTGGTTGTAACCATTAATATAGATGGCCTCAGTTCAGCAATAAAAAGAAACACAGAACAGATCAAGAAACAAACTTAATCAATACATAACATACAAGGAACACATTTAACTTGAAAGGAAATTCATAGACTGAAAATCAAATGAGGGAAAACAATTGCTCCATGTGACAGGTTACCAGAAGAAAAGCAAGAGTAACTTGCCCATCAACTGCAGAATGGATAAGAAAGACCTGGTATTTTTATACAATGGAAAGCTACCCAGCTGTGAAGCAGGATAATCTCAAGGCTCTTGGAAATAAATGAATGCAACTGGAGATCATGCTCATGGATGAAATGGTTTGGACTTATACAGGTGAACACCAAGTTATCTCCCTAGGCTAAAACACTGAAGGAGTTAGTGGGATCCAAAATGCACAATAGATATTATGAAAGTGATAGAGGAGGAAACACCTGAAAAGGGAAAGTGGTAACCACTGATAAGTTCCTATTACCTTGTTTTGAATTGTATCTTTTCATAATTTTGTTAAGTTTGGTTTTATTCTGTCTTGTTTTGTTAGATTTTATTGTGACTGATGGTATGGGCAGCTATTTTGAAGATGACAGGATATATGAAGGTAACCACTGTTGATTTCCTATTATCTTTTTTTGAAGTCCTATAATGCTTTCATTCTTTTGTTTTGATTGGTTTTATTCTGTTTTGTTTTATTTGATTTTATTGTGTGTGATGATATGGACAGTTATTTTAAGGAAAATAAGAGACATTATGATAGCCGTTATTGATTTCCTATTGTCTTGTTTTAAAGTCTCATATTGTTTGCAATGCTCTGTTTTGTTTTATTCTCTTTACAATAAAAAATTAAAATTTTGTATTAGAATTTTAACTTACAAATAGGAAAAGCATAATTAAAATCAGTTTTTTTTTCTTTTTTTGTTTTTGATATCAAGGATCAAACTCACAATCATGTGTTTGCCAGGCAAGCACTTTGCCATTCAGCTAAATTCCGAGAAATTCAACTCAGTTTAAGCAAAACATGGAACTGAAGGTTTCTCAACATCTAAGAAAATATGAACAATTTTAAAATTTTTTATTGTTTATTAGTACATGTTTCAATACATTTGCTGTACAAAATGACCACTTTCCTTAGGGGGAGCTGGCACATGTATGTGCAATGTGTCAGCACCTTTTCTTAGCTGGATATTCTTAAGGGAACAACCAGGGATACAGCTGAGCCATGGTTGGAGTGGGATTAAGAATGCTCAAGCCTTTGTCTTTATCATTAACCTTTGATACTTTTTGCATATCCATATTTTCTTTCCCACTCAGACTTTTTCTACATAGCAAGAAATATAGCTGCTGACAGCTCCCAAGATTTTAATTTCATAGCTTCAGCCATGAGAGTTACTGAATTCAAGATCTCTCTGATCCCAAATCCAGAACTTCTCAAAAAGTCTTATTGACTGACCTTGACTTAGATGACAATTCCTGAAGCAATCACCTGAAGCCAAGGTTGGACAGTCAGCCTAAGCTAATATGACAGTTCTAACTGCATGGAAAAGGGACCCCAGCAGGACATTCCCAAGTATCTGCTAAACAGATATCCTCAGTTATAGAGCAAACTGCATTCCTGAGGGAAGACTGCTTCATTTGCAAAAATATTGCATAAAAACAACTCCACCAAGTACTGTAAATTGCAGATTGTGACAGTTGAAGTCAATGCTAGCAAAGCAATAACTTCTTGTGCCTTCTGATGCTGGCTATGGTTTGTTTCAGGCACAGGGAGAGGGCCAGTGTCTACAGCTGTACCTGAACACACACCCTCTCAGGAGAGAGGGACAGAGTTAGAGAGACTGTGTTATCTTCCACAATCCTAGAGAGTGAGTCTTTCTCCTACCATGAAACAGCTGGCAGCTGTAAAATGGAGCAGAAATTAGGAGCTACCTTGGCTGTAGAAACAGGACTTACATCTCAGAGGCTGTAAAAGCACATCTTGCTCTCTCTTGGTTGGTGTTCCACAAAGTCAGATTCTGAGAAACATGTGGGTACTTTTGGAGGTCATTCCAAGAAGCAAGTGAGAGAGCAGAGAAACATCACAGTATGCAACAGGACATAGACAACTGAGGCTCTGTCTCACAGAGGACCCTTGGAGAGGCTGTACAACACACCTCACAGTTTTCCTTCATAATGGAAAACTAAGGCATAAGGTTGACGTTTTTTCAGTACACATTTATGAACCCAAGGCCTTGCACATTGCTAAGCCAACAACACTCTACATATTCCAATCCCCTAAAGCTAGGATTTTTATCTATCAGCTTCTGTATCCTTTAGTTAAGTTGTATCTGAGGGTACTAATTCCTCAGCTTGTCCAAGAAGAATATTTACTTATGTGTCCAGAGACAACCTTTAAGCAGAATCATGCACTTCAGGTAGGAAGTCACTGGCATGACATAGACACTGTTCATACAAGCTAGGAAGGGCACAAAGATCCCAAGTCTAACTTATGAGTGGGAAAGTAACTTTATTTCACTTTGAAAGAGTGAGAAGATATTCAGTTTCAGAACTTCTGGAATGCTTGGTGCTGGCAGTCCTAGTGACCTCAAGCACTTTGAAGCACATTGTCTTGCTCAAGAGCTAGTACTCTCCCACCATGATGTCACCAATCAAGATGGCCCGTGTAAGAGGTGGCAGGGGTGTTTGTTGAGGAGGGGCCACCGTAGCACACCCCTAGAGCAGACTCTCCCTCTCTGTGGCCAAGTTTGGAGATCTGCTCTTTGGCTCAATCAAACTCAATGACCCTCCAGGTCCCAATTCAATATGCCCCTAGTTGTTGATTGAGCACAAGGCACCAAGCTCAACACTGTACACTCTGAGAATCCTTCAGACTTCCAGGGATCTCTGGAACAGATGATTCCCACCTATTATTATCTTCATTTCACAAAGAACAAACTGGAGGCTCCAAAGGCTGGTCAGTAACCTCCTCCCCTCAACAGTTTCCACCACACACACACACAGACAGGCACACACCAGCCAGGGGATTTTATTAATATCTGCATTAGCCTCCTTCCAACATCATATACATATGGAACTAGGGCCTGGAAAGGGAGATAACTTACTCTGTCTCAAACAGTTAATAAATAATGCAGCCAAGACTTAAATCAAGCTTATTAACTCTAAAACCTCATCCCTTTCCTTCTAGTACATGAGGAGAAGCCAGTGCATCGTTACTACTCCAGAAGTACATTTCCTTTATATCAAGAAGTAGTGACAAGTATGGAAGACTCCATATGACGCATGAAGCAGTATTTTCCAGTCTAGGGATTGTGTTGCACAGAACTGAGTAATTTTAGTAACACCACCTGCAAGTGATTTCCCCGGCGAGCCTTCCTCTGGAGAAAACTCCTTCTCTCTCTCCTGGGCAATAGGAATCAAGATTATTCTTTCATCTTGTGAAAGAAATTAGCCAGGTGTTACAGCTTCTCTTGCTTTCGGAAGCTCTGGCTTGTCTTGAACTTGCTGTGAATCAGTCCATGGAGGCTTCTAGCTTAGTTAGACAGGCATGGCCTAATACAGTTTACAAGTGCACTATAATTTGCATCTGTCCTTGTTTGGTTATGCTTGACCCAGTAGGTTAAATAGATAGCTTACTCCTGTATCCTACAAATTGTCAAGCTGGGGCTCTAGGACTGTAATGGCAGCTGCACAACTACCCAGACCTCCTGCTTATTACTCTGCCATATCTATGTATAATCCAGTGCTTTATACACACGCCATTGGTCAGAATCTTGTGAGATGGCTCTTACATGCCCACACTTTGCTGAAATGAAAGTTTAGAAATAATGCCATGCTGGGCAGCCATGTAAAGAAAACATGAAGACTGGGACAACCAGTTATTTCTGGCACTACGCCCAAACAATAAAAGTCTTTATTGTCCTTTGTGAATGTGTATTTTCTGAGTACTACTTTGAAAGAAGTGACTGATTAGAGGCAAAGTCATATTTAAGACTTGCTACAAAAATGTTATCTCAGTGTCACTTCTGCTGCTCTTTCCAGTGGACTTTCTGCTGATATCAGAATGTATATTCCTGCTCTGGTCTCCATCAGGAGAGAGGTGTTTGAGAATGTTAATGATATGGAGCAGTGGAGCTCAGAGATGGAGAGACTGCATCCTGATGACATTGTTGGAAACTATGGAGCTGGATATGCAGGTGACTGGGATGCTAAACAATGCAAACAAGCAACTTCATCAAGGACACACCATTAAGAAGTGACAGAACAGGTATTAGAATCCATTTCTCAGTCTCTGTCTCTGTCTGTCTTTGTCTATCTCTCACACACAGAGAGAGACTTTAAATTCCTTCCAGAACCCTTCTTCCTTGCAGATTCTATTCCAGCCAAACACCTCTTCCTGATCTTCCCACACTTTGGTTGCTGTGGCTGATAGTCTGCTTTATTCAAGGCACCCGGGGCCTGGAGGATGAACTGCATCTGCAGGAGGATGGTCTTTGACATTTCACTGAACATGTGTCTCCCTAAAACACCATGGAGAAACACCAGTGCTCAGATGCAAGTGGTTTCAAGCAGCTTCTGGAGAGGCTGAGGGTAATGCTCTCCAGGCACCCCAACTATCACTGTCCAGTCATAGAGGCAGAATTCCAGAGGGATTCTGCATTAGGTTCCAGTGATCCCAGCACTGGTTCCAGCACCCCTGAGTCCTTCAGGCAAGCCAAGATTCCTCTCTGGGTCTAGGTTTCCTCATGTATGAAGTAAGGAATTGAGTCTAGAACTGCTGTTTACCCCTTCCACCTCATCACTCTCTGGGTTCTGAGTTCTAAAAGCCACAGATCCCAATGCAAGCTTGCATCATACTCAGTACCAGTCACCAGGACAGCAAGAAGCACCTTCCTGGGGTATCATGCTCACCTCTCAGAGTTTGACATGGATGCCAGATGCAATACAGGAAATCAAGTGTCTGTGGTGGCTCATTTGTTATTTCCTTCACAATGGAAATTTCCTTAAGCTTCTGCAGTCCCCATCTGTGTGTACACCTGATCTGGATCTAGGGAAAAACATGGGCCATTCACCTCTTCCTCAGCCCTCTCTCACCCTCTGGCCATCACAGGCTGTCTCTTGCCTGACTCAATTTTCTCCACTAATTAAATGTCACACTTGCAGTTGCAGTCACCAAGAGACTCTCTCCAGCTAACTCAGCAGAAGAATAATATCCTTCCCATTTCTTACTACCCTCATGAGATGCTGGCCATGAAAGTGGTGAAAAACAATGACAAACCACAGGGTTGCTATGAGGAAGTGTTGCTGGCCTGATGGCCCAATAGCCCAAGCAGAAAGTATGAGACCAAAAAAGCAAAACTTAAAGGAAGTGAACAGAATACTTCCTACAAACCAGGGAAGCAAGAGAACATATGACACACATATTTATGATTCATCACCTCAGTGTTCATGATCTCTCCCAGTACATTTCCGTTTTATAGAAAACAATCAATTATTGTATAGGTGTTCTACCAGGCTACCACCGTTCTCTTTGGAAAGTGGTAGGGTATAGAGTTAAAAACCATTCAGGATGTTGGAATTGGTATCCAGAGATGAAGTCATCCAGAGTCGGGCCTTACATCCACAGGGAAAGTTACACAAGTTAAAGCATTTCACATCTATCATTCCCCTAGGTCTCCAGAATAACTGCGGGAGCAGAAAAAGCATTTTTTAAAAAAAAGTACTCTGCACATGCCTATACTTCTAGTACTCAGGAAGCCCGAGGCAGGAAGATCACAGTTCAAGCCTAGTTTGAACAATTCAGTGACTTAACAAGACCCTGTCTCAGAAATCTAAAAAGAGCCAGGTTTGAAGATTAGTGCAAAGGCCTTAGTTCATCCCCAATAGCATTAAAAAAAAAAAAAGAAAAGTAAGACCCAAAAACTTATCTGAAGCATACCAGTTTGTATATGTTCAGAATGGCTCCGTATCTGACCCTGACTATGGTTTTTCTTGGCTTTCTCTCACTGAAATAAAAAGTGTTGTAGTCAGGGTTTGCAAAAGAATCACCTTAATACAGGACACATAACTTATAGGATTATTTTATAATATTCACCCAAAAAGTCAAATGTAGAAGGGTGTAAGCAATCTGTCCACACACTAGAGACCCAACAAATGCAGCTGAGGGCCTGGATCCCATGACAATGCCCTGCCTAAATCCCACTGGAGACTTAGAGCCTATGGCAATGTCTCATACAAGTCTGTATCAAGTATGTGCACTGGAAGGCCTACAAGGCCTGCAGGTCAGCGGTGGTGGCTAGAAAGTGTGCGTCAGCTGGATGAAGGCTGTGTGCCAGCAGGCTGAGGGATTGGCACTAGAGCCAGAAAGCAAACATCCTCACTGATAGTAAGGACCTGAGCTCCTCTGATGGTGAGAACAGCTGAGTTCATATTCAGGAAAGCCAGCACGACAAACTTCCCCAGGAGAATCAGCAGCAGTATCTCTATGCCTCCAGTTCTCATTTTCTGTCATTGACAATAATATTCAGGTGGGTCTTCCACATCCAGGACCACACTGATTCAGTTCAGCTGGGTGTTACAAGTTTATCATCAGTCAGTTCACCACAAGAGAAAAGGGGGAGGCAGCAAGGAAAATAGAGAGCATCACAGTTTTAAAAGATTAGCCACAAAATTGTTAGATTCACACAGAGCAGTAAGTTAGGAGCAATCCAGAAACGTGGCAGTTTGCTCTCCAGTTCCCAGGGACTGTGAATGAGTATTGGTTTCCAAATACAGCAGAGATAGCAGTGACAGAATCACCAATTGTTGGAGGGAAAGGGGAGCAAGCTTGAGTCTTCAAGTCATGACCTATGATCACTCATGGTCCACACTTGCACCTTGGCCCTGGCTGACTTCTTTTCTTCCATTGAAAGATAGACAATCAAAAGTAAAGAGTTAAGTGATGGAAGGGTGCCCAAATATTCAGTTCACCTCTTGTTTTACAGATAAGAGTATTGAACAAAAGAGTGATTTGTTCAAAGTTTTAGCCACTTAGTGCAAACTTAAATTTCCTGATTGCCTTTTTGTCCTAATCTGTTTTGTACTACTAAAACAAAACACCTGGGACTAAGTTGTTTATAAAGAACAGAGATTTGTTTATTACAGTTTTGGAGACTGGGCAGTCTACGTTTGAGGGGGACCACATCTAAGGAGGGTATCATCCCATAGTAGAAGACAGAAGGCAAGAGAGCATGCCAGAAAGGGGACAGGATCCCTCTTTTTATCAGAGTCTCACTCCCAAAACACTTAGCCCACCCTCATCATATATGATGTTACGCTGGAGATTATATTTCCCGCACATTAGCTTTTGGGGTCATATTCAAACCATAGTGCTTTCTATTTACCTTTGTAAACCATTAACCTTCCTGCTTTGCCTATGTGTGGACCCAGGAATGCCAATTGATATTCCCAAGAGAAATCCTGGTCTCTGAGGATGTAAGTTTAGGACGGGAACGCTTACTTTTGTTGTTGTTAAGCTTTCTCCTTGATTAGATTAGAATAATGTAAATATGATTAATTCACATAGTCACTATACCTTCCTAGGATCTTTACTCCTGTTGATTCCCAGGCTTCTCTTTGAAGCCACTTCCTCATATGTGTACCTCTTCCTTCCCCTGTGATAAAATCTTAGAACCTCTGAAAATCTTCCCTTCAATATGGCTTTCATAGCAGTCCCCTCAAGATCCAGTAGGTAAGACTGCATAACTCTTCATACTCCTCATTCTCCTTGAAAATCACACGGTGCTTTAGATGCTTTAGAGAAGGGAATCCCTTCACTCCATCCTCCAGATACTAGCAAGGCTCATCCTGACAAGGGAGGAAACAGTTACGAGGAACTCTTGGGGACCTGACCCACAGGACGAGTGCCAACTTGTGCTGCAGCCAGGGAGAACCAAGGCAACCGCTAGAACACAGTGCTTGAGGCAGAGGAGGAGCTAGGGAAAGACTGGTCCCACCTCTCTCCTCCAACCCTATAATGGTCAGTTGCTTTGGAACCACCCAAGGAGATTGCCCTAAACCTGCAGGCAGAAGAGCACAGGCAACTCCCAGGCAGGAATTCAGAGTCCCAGGCTCAGAACGGGGTTGAGATAGGCAGTGAAAGGGAAGCTAAGAGACAGACAGAAAAACCAGCACAGATGCCTTTCCTGCTTCTCATTCCCATAAGTAGGATGTAACCCTCTCCACACACTCAAAAAGTGAATGCACACCAGGAATGGTGACATATGCCAGCAAGAAGATTCCAAGTTCTAGGTCAACCTGGGAAACTTAGTGAGATTTGTCTCAATCAACCAATCAATAAAGCTGGGGATGGAGTTTAGTATGAAGTCCCTGGGTTGACATTCCAGTACACAAGCACATAAATGATAAATACTTAGGTAAGCGTTAGGTAGATTTAAGCCCTGGAGAAGGCTGATAGAAACAGAAGGATTTAATAGAGACATGATCTGGGATCCAGCAGACACATTCCTCACTTTTCTACTGTGAATTTGTACTTTGTCAATATAGTAACCTGCTGTACATCTCCCGTACCTTTCCCTCAGGAATAGAAGAACAATCTATGTGTCTATCCACTTGGTGTGGTGAATGGCATAGGACTGTGCATGTGTGCATGTGTGTAAAAGTGGAAAAACTGGATTTGGATCCACTGAAGGCTTTGGTTAACTTGTTTTGGGTATATTTACCCAAGCATCACAAAGGGTCCAATAGACCCACACAACTCCAGAAGTTATTTTTTAAAAATAAATTTTCTATTGACTTTTCTGGTAGAAGTAGCCTAATTCAGTATGATGGTACATGAAACAGCATTTTTGCAAGTTTTGGAAGCAGTCAATAGTGATTATCAGGGCCAGGGATATAGCTCAGCAGCACGACACCTGCCTAGCAAACA